CCCCAGTGGTGTTGTACCAGCTGTACCAGCAGTTCATGCTCAGGTTCAGGACGTTCATCCTCAGGGCAGAGGTGAGGACCTACAGGACAAGTTACCACTTGTGAAGTCACCACTTCACAATCTTTTTATCCAAAAGATTTATCCAGTCCTCATGACCTTTGCTTTCCCAGCTCCTGCCTTCCCATGGTAACAGAGAAAATAAAAAATACGAAATATTCACAAAATATACCTTAGAAGAAACATATTACTCAGAGCTGATCTGTACATTTAGCCATTAGAGCCAACAACTTCAGCACTTGCTTTCCCAACTGTAGCTCAAACTGCTCTTACTATTTTTTAAAAACACATGTATTGCATGAATACATAATCTATTTATTGAGTTACCTGTTAATTGTGGAGAGATTCTGAATTTGTTGTATTCATCATGAATAAATCCATATATTTCATTTGCAATTTCTGGCTTTTCATGCTGTAGGAAATACTCAGACACAATCTCACACGACATTAAAGTCACTGCACCATGTCTCTCAACATCATCAAAATAAGGAACCAACTCTGCCTAAAAGTGAAAAGAAAAATTTCCCAGGTGCATTATTTTCTCCTCTGGAGAAAGGATTTTGGGATCTTTTTTAAAAAAGACAAAATGAAAACCAACACTGGACTGAAAGGACAAGAATTTCCTTTACCTTTTAAAAAACCAAACACACAAATACTGATTCTCCCATTACTTTGCCTCACTTCTTTGCAGCTAAAAGATCTCTTTAGGAAAACCAGTAACTGAAGGGTGCAGCCAGTCTATAAAGCTCAGATGAGGTGAAAAAATGAGTTTTGAAACTTTGCAAACAAGTTGCTCTGAGCCAATTTTCCCACAGCTGAATCTTTGCCTTGTTTGTTCTTGTTTCCCACAGGTAGTTATGGCATTGGCAATTTGAAATAACTTGCTGATATTCAGCATGTTGTTTTATTTCCTCTCCTATAATTGAGTTGTGCTGGTCTGACATTTTGATTCAGCACTATAAAAGAAGCAGATCCAATTTACTGAAATTTCTGTGGTTGATTCAAAAACACTGATTCAATTTCTCAGTACATTCATTAGGGGAAGCATACTTAACCTCACATTTGTTTGCACAAACAAACAGCCATTCATCAGGAACAAGAGGAACATCTCACTCTCCCCAGAATAAGTCATAACTTTGGGCAGGCATGGATCTGACCTCAGGCTTGGTTTCCACAAGGCTTTTCTGTTTTGGAGTACAGTCCTATAAAGCCATTGCAGAGCCACTTCAGCACTCTCTTGACCCTGCATCAACACCTAAAAGGTTTCCACCTGCTCCAAGCTGTGTGAGAGAAGAGGGAGAACAGAGGCAGCAATAATGGCAAAGGAGCAGGTCAATGCAAGGTTTATTTGTGAAATCCAGATAATCATAGTAAACATGAGAACTGACAACACAAAATGTTCATAAACCAGCTGCTCACTTTATTTCTGGAGACAAAGCGTGGCTCTTCCTTCTGCCCACCCTTTTGGAACAGATCCAGATTTTGCCTGGATGAGGGCTCAGGAGGTACAAGATGCTGCCCCATCAAGTCCATGCCCCCTGCAGAAGTTCATCCACAGCCAACCAAAGGCTGAACAACCCATTTTCCCTCAAAACTTTTAGGTCACACTGTGTGACCCAGCTGGCAAAAAGTTCAGCACTGCTGATGGAGGAAAGAAAATAATCATGGTCCTTAATACCCTTTTACCACCAGCTTCTTTTTAACCTGGGGGAAAGGAAAGCTGTGGTTTCAGAAGATACACTTCATCTTTAGTATCCTGAAACATCAGATGCAAAAAAGGTGCTTATATGCATCTCTTTGAACTTACACTGTTCCCACTAATCAATTTCACCACTCTGTTTTGCTGCTGCCATCAAAATGTACTCTCAGTATATAAAGCAAGGCTCTTCAACAGTTTTTTTCTAAAGGATGTGGGTTGGAAAATGCATAGGAATAATGGATGGGACTAAAAAGATGTTTTCAAGTGGCTGGTTTATAATACATGTGAAATCTAAATTTCAGTATATTGGCCACAGACTTAGAGATTTCAGAAATGCCTGGGTAGGTTCTCCCCATACAAAGGTATTTTATACACACTCTACACACATCTCAGGAACTACAGAATGACAGGAAAGGGATGCTAAGTGCAATAATCCTGTTGAGCACTAGAAACCAGCACCTGTTCCAAAGACCCAGAAATAAACGGTGTAGGGAACTTGCAGAGATGGTTCTTCAGATGAGGTTTTCAACTTTTTCAATTTCTCTCTGCAGCAGAAATCTCTTTTTTTTGAACCAGACATCCTTCACCTGGCTCAGATTCTTCAAAAGCCAGTCCATTGTAGAATCCTCTCATCCTCTGCTTTTAATACAGTATTAGTGGATCTCTACCCCACTATTCAGTATCTATTAAAATATGTACTTTTTCTGAAATTCCTGCAGTCCCAAACAAATGACTATGAAAATAACAAGATCACTTCAAAATCTATTGGACAATTTTTTAAATTCCTTACTTCACCTTAAAAGACAGGATTCCTGTGAGCTTCAGGATAACAGAACAGAACTTCAAAACTTCTCATTTTTATTCCTAGGAAGTAGCTGAATCTTTATGCTTTTCCTGCTTCAATTATTCCAAAACTTGAAGGATGTAACAGTTGTGAGGATCTCTAGCATTTGTCATGTTAGGAAAATCATTAAAACAGGCATTATTTTCATTCAGTAAAACTGACTTTTCTTTGGTCTTTCTTCCCTAATTCAAAAATTGCAAAGGATAAAGTCTTCAGAAGTTATTTTAAAAGTGAATAATTAATTAAAAGTGATTATTATGAAAATCATTACATACTTGACTGATTGTGTGGCAGTATTGATTAGGTATTTTCTACTTAGACCCAAAGTCAGATTAAGGCAGTTACTAATATTGCATTATCAGAGAATGGCAGGGATGACAAAAGTAGATCACTTTGCAGTGAGCTGCCACTTCTGCCAGGGTGACTCCACTGGAAGAAGCAGCCAGGCCCAGAACTGCCAGTGGGGATCAGCCAGCCTGGTTGGGACCAGGAAATCCATCAGGGGCTGCTGCTCATGCTGCTTTGTTGGTGTCTGTGTGTGCACACACACAAACACACTTTCTACATCCCACAGTCTGAGAGGCCTATTTCACCCAACTTTGATTTTGTCCCTATGAATAGAAAAACTCCTCAACTTCAAAAAACAATAAAAAATGCTCACAGCAACTCTTGTGAGATTGAGTAGCTTCTGTATGGCTGATGGCACAACAGCCCTGAGTTTGCTTTATGTGGTAATTTAAGCAATTTAAGCTTAAAATGTTCCCAGGGCAAAAATTAGGGCTATGTCTAACAAGTACATTAGGGCTTATTATGCCTATTAAGCACAGGGAGTCGCCCTTGTTGTGACTGCACATTACATTTGAAAGCTGTTCTGGGCAGTGTGCTGATTCCCTAATCAAACTTGTGTGGGAGGTACTTTTTGGTGACATTTAGAAACCCTCAATTACAAAGCAACTAGCTAAAAGGGCAAAGGAATGGGTTTTCCTAAGCACAGTGACAGAAAACAAAAACAGACATTGGGCATAACCAAAGAACTGGAAGCATTCTTTTTGCATTCTGTTTTTTACTTTTAATTCTGTTACTTTGGTGCCTTAAGAGACTCAAAATGAATAAATAGTCCAGTATCTGAGGGGAAAAATAACCTCGTTACTTGAGGAATCAAAGATTTTGAAATTGCCCAAGAGACAGAAATCAAAGATATTTTGATCTTGCAACATTCAAAATATCCATCTTGTTACTTTTAAGCATCTTTAGAATTTAAAAATTAAAGAAGTGCTGACTCAAATTTGTATGAAGTTAAAATAACTTAATTTTTTTTTTCATCTTCCATAAATCTTTTATTGGTGGTTCAAAATGAAGCATATGCTTCCAGAACTTTTATCTCATGGCTGGCACCCTCCAAGGAAACCAGACGGCAAAACTCATAAATCCTTTCCCTTCTGCTCTTTGACAGTCCCAATCAAGAAAGTTGTGAGGCTGGAAGATCAGGTTTATGTCCTGTTGTTATAAAAACAATTTCTTTATGCATCCAGTGTGGTTTCAATTTTCTGCCAGTCCATGGTGGCAAACAGCAGTTTAATGAGATATTATATACAGACAGCTATTGGAAGAACACACAGCACATTCTCTACTTCAATGGGAGGCACTGGTGTATTATTTCACACAAGAGCAGATGAGATCAGAAGCACTTTGGGGTTTTGATGCACAGTACCAGACAGCTACAGAGTTTCAATTTCAAGCACTATCACACAAAAAGATGTTACTCCCAAACAGTAGACAAGGATTCTGTCTTAACAAGTTGAAGTATAGCAACAGACAAAGTTGACATGGTAGGTAAGTATTTTAGGCCTGATCTGCAAATGGAAGTTATAATGTCTACTGCCTTCATATCAACAGCATGGTTAAACAGTTTTGAAATTCTTTTGATCATGCACCTTAAAAAACCCTCACAAGATGAAAAGAAATCATTATCACTAATGTTCATGATTTCAAGACTGAAAGCTTGAAAGAACTGACAACTCAAATATGACAGTTAAGATTGTGTTGGCTGTTCCTAAGACTTCTGGAGAAATAAAATGTGCAATTAGAGCTCTTTGATTACCTGAAGGAAGCTCAACACTTCACAAATTAGTGCTCCAAACTGAATTACTACAGGAAAATTTTAGTTTGCTTCCCAAGAAATATTCCAACATGTTTTGATGAAGAACCTGCAAAACAACTCTTGATGTTTATTTCAATTCATTTCAGTGTATACCAATGCCAGTGAAAACAGCTTAAATCTTAACTCCCCTACAAAAATTTATTCTTTATTAACTTCACCTTTTGTTAGAAAATTCTTCAAAATAATTTCAAGATTCACAAGAATCTTCTGAGGAAACAAAAGTGAGGGGAAATGATTAATTAAGAAAAATACAACACAAATGCCAGATTTTATTGAGGTACTACATTCACATCGGTTTGTGCACTGAACAGTCACATTTGGCTAAAGACAACCATGTTCATGACATGAAGACACCACACTGAGATGGCACATGGGGAAAGCTTAAAATAAAGCTTGGTCAACATGGTGTGCCAAACTCTGCTCTTCTTGACAACTGCATTATCTCACTGGAATTGCATGGGGTAGAGACAACTTGCATGAAAATGACTGAACAGCAGTAGCTGACATGTGCAAATCAAAACACACAACTTCTCAGAATAGCAACCATACACAGACACAGCCTGGCCCAGCTTCAGATTGGCCCTGGCTAGAGACAGGGGTTGTAAGAGCCAGGAAACACCTCTGGAAGAGTGAGTCAGGTTCTTGTGGCTTACAGTCACAGTCCATCCTTGTGCCTTAGGAGGTGTCTTGAAGTCACTTGGCTCTGGCAACAGCTTGTTTTGGTGGGGGCTTTGTCATGGATGCAGCTCTGTATCTGCAAAATACCAGTAACAGTAACAAGGTAGACTGAAGAAGGGATGAATTTTCCCCTACAAAAGAATCCAGAACAAACCACACAGCTCAATCCATTTCACTGGCACAGATACTTCTTTCCAAGTATCTCATTATATTCCTAACCTTTATTAGGTGAAGAATAGCACCCCTAAAGTGCATTACTAGAGCTATGAAACATTAAGTGCCTCCTCTGGGGGTGTTTGTGGATGGGCAGCTCTGCTGCTCCTCTGCTGGGCAAGTGAGAACTTCCCCTTGCATGTGATAAAGGCCCACACACAATGGTGCTGAAACAAAACAAAAAAGGTTTTGTAGATAAAGACAGTCATTCACCTAGCATTTCTATGCAGTGCCTCTTGGAAAATGCACCACTAAAATCTACATCAAACCATGCAGTTAATTTCTTTTTAATGATAGACATACTTACAATGTGTGCCTTTAACCCTGAAAGACACCAGAATATATTCCAAAATACATTTGAGGAATTTCTATACAAAATAAATTGCTCTATTGCTCTACTGCTCATTTAAGCAGAATTGATTCTGAGGTAAAACACAACAGCTGTTGGTACAGATGGATTAAGAAGCAAATGCTTGTCTGGATATGCAAAAAAATGGACATGCACTGAAGTCTGGCTGGACAATTTCAGCTAACTCAGCTACTGACAGAAGTTCTGAAGCATGAAATCTTGGGCTTGAGGCAGATGGCAACTAGCAGCAGGAGCATCCTAACCACCAAAGAACATCAGTACTGGTTCACTGAGAGGAATGATGCTCATCTGAGTTATCAGTGATACTTTTTGTAGATTCAAATTCTAGATTGTTTTCTGCTGAAGACTCTGAGGATAGTTACACATTCCTGATGAACTTAAATGAAAAGCTGAGACATACATGTAAAGTGAGATTTGTACACTTCCCCAGCACTGCAATCTGGCTGACAGCAGTGTGCTCTGGCAGCTGAGGAGGCAAACCCCATCTGGGGTGTGTCAGACACCAATAAATGGCCAGCTGCTCAGAAGAGGGGGTTATCCTGCTGCATTGAGCCTTGCTGCAGTCTCACTGTGAATGAAGAGTGTGCTTCTGGGTTGCACAATTTAAGAAGGATGTTAAGGTACTCAAAAGCATCCAGAAGAGACCAACAAAGCTGCAGAAAGGGTTGGAAGGACAGGTGGAAGGAGTGTCCCATGAGCAGTGCCTAAGGACTTTGGGCTTGTGTACTTCAGGGACAAGGAGGCTGAGGGGTGACCTCACTGCCCTGTCCAGCTCCCTGAGGAGGGGAATGTGGAGAGAATGGCCCTGGCACAGGCTGCCCAGAGAAGCTGTGGATGCCCCATTCCTGGAAGTGTTCAAGGCCAGGTGAGATGGAGCTCTGAGCAACCTGGTCTACTGGAAGGTGTCCCTGCCCATGAGAGCAGGATTGGAAACAGATGATCCTGAAGGTCCCTTCCAGCCCAAACCATGCTGTGATTCTCTGATCTCTTCTCCCTGTTATCCAGTGAATGGATGCATGGGAATGGTTCAAAGCTGCACCAGGGGAGGTTTACACTGGATATTAGGAAGCATTTCTTTACTATTTAGTCAGCTTCTTCAATTATACTTGAGGACTTGGTTTCTTCTTTTTAACTACAGTACCTTGATTTTTATTCTATTTCACTTTTTTTAAATTTAGGAACATTTCTTGAGGGCACAGAAATAATTCTGAAAGGTAGTTTTAGCCCCAGAGTCTTGAAACTCTTCTCAGGGTGGTGTCATTCAAAAATTTTATTCATGTGCTCTTTAGTTCTTCAGCCAAGCTCTTACTACTTATCTGGGATAATGTGCCAGACACTTCCCAAGACATCCTTCTTCCCTCCAAAAATGTGCTTGAGAATGAGTCACTGAAAATTTCCCTTTTCATAACAATCTGTAATCACAGCCACTTGTTCCCACTTACCTGATAGGCAAAATTACCTTGACAAAGAGAGAAATTAGACTGATTTGTCATGATCTGTCTTCACTAAATCTGTGTCAGATTTTTCTTGTGCATAGGTCAACTACTTAATAATTTAATGTATTATCACCCTAAGTTAGAAGCAATGCCTTCATCTGCCTAGCTCCTCTCCTTTCCCTTTGAAAAGCTAAGAGCTGTGTTTGCCCTTTTGCTGGAAAAGAGCAAGCAAACAAACCTGAATTGTATGCTGAACTACACCAACCACAAGGGGTCCTGTTCCTAATTAAAACTCAGTGAATTTGGCAGAAGAAATATGCCTGCTAAAGGAAATCTAATTGGCACCTGTAGCTTTCTCCCAGCAGCAGAAATTTGCAACAACTGATGGACTCTCTGGCTTAATGCTGCACTGTGAAGTGGCTCTCCATGACAGGTGTGGGTATGAAATCTGCAGCAAGCACATGTGGAAAGCAGGAGACAAAAAACAACGAGAGACCTGGAATTTCTATCAACACTTAGCCATATTATGTGTTGAAGTTCAGAAAAGATCCTTGCCTCCTTTTCCATTCTGAATCAGGAAGGAAAAAGGCTCACAGGTTAAGGACATAGTTTTCCTGGACTTAGCTCCAAATGAGATCTCAAGTATTTTCAGTCTTCACTACAATTCCAGCCTCATTTTGGCAAAAAAAAAAAAGTTGTGTAATTAATACACAAAAAAAGCTTCCAGATCTTTTGGTCTTTACATAATGCATGCATTCAAACCCTACCCAAGTCCTTTGCAGCTCTCTCTCCATTCTCTCCCTGTAAGCAACAGTGGGTTAGCAGGCACCCTGTAAACATCAGCTTCTCTACCATGACAGAAAAGAAGGCAAAGAGAAGCATGAGGAAACGAGAGGCTCATGGCCTTCAAAAAGCAATGCCACATCCACAGAGCTCAGCTCATCTCAGTACTTGGTGCTTGCCTGGGATATTTTTGGATTTTCTCACTACAGACGGCTTTCTGACTGCAGGATCCATTTTAGTCTTTCCATGGCATTTTTCTCCCACAAGCCATTTCATTTGCAACAGCAGAAAAAAAAATGTGTGGAGGTGGTTAGGAGTTTTGAAATTAGTTTTGTTACACTTCAGTCTTTTTATAAGGAACAGGAGCCAAAATCAACTTGTTATGCTGATAAAGAGCTCTGAGAAAGATGCATTTGCACTTGGGATGCACAGCGTAGCTTTTTTTAAGGGTACAAGTGAAACAGGGAAGTCTTGACTCATTTACTTTCCTGCTCATCTGAAAACAGCTGCTGAGCAAATAGGACCACTTATTTTTCTTGTGCTAGACATTGGTGATCTGCAGCTATTCTCACATTCTGTGGCTGTTAAGCCATGAGCTTTCACCCCCTGCAGAAAGTAAAATGCATGTTTCATGCCATTTGAAGTCCTTTGCATTATTCATAAAGTCCTCTTAAGTCTGAAGTACAGCTCATCTGTACTGGGGTACATTTTAAACACTGTTCTGCATGGTCTGTGCCATAGGCAGTTTGACCTTTACACATTATTTCAGCATAAAAATCAACTTTCTTGCAAGATAACCCTCTCCAGTTCTGTAGCAAAATTTACCTGGCACTGATTCCTGCATCCCCAGGAAAACTGCCCAACAGAACTTCACTGCTTTCACCCTTCATCACACAGGAGCCTTTCTGGCAATTCATCACTAAAGAAATTCTTTTGAATAAGTTACAGTGTCTGCCTCCTCAGTAAGCTCTGGTGCACCCAGGCCAGCTCAGGGAAAGGACAATAACAGCATAAGGGAATATAATCTTGTCTGGCACATAACCATGATGGAGTATTCAGTGCCAGTAAATCTGGAAGAGATTTGTCTGGGGAAGGACTCTGTCCAAGTCTCTGCAGATACATCCCTGTGCAAGGACAGCATCAGGGCAGTGTGTAAATGAATCAGCCAGAGACAGTTTGCCAGTGCTTTTCAAAAAGTTAAAAACCCACATAAAGAATAATTTTATGAAATCCATGTAAAACAGAGTAGAGAGTATACAAATACTACAGAATAAGATAAAAAGAAATGTTCTCATGGTACCTCTTTTCTTCATAACATTGGTAGAATCATTCAGTGCCTCTGTCTTTAACATATCGAACTCCCTCTGGCCTCACTGTCTGCAAAACAAAGGCATTTTTAGAAGAATTAAGAGCATTATTCTTCCATCAGTTGCAAGTAGTAATACATAAATATGCCCACTGCACTAGGAAAACCACAGTTCCTGGAATCTTCTACAATTTTTAGATGAGACAGATTAAATCCATTCCACTTTGCATTCCTGGGCCTCAGGGAGGCTGCAATTATTAACTTGTGTTAAAAAGGAATAAACATCAAAGTGAAGAGCAGTTTAAGGAAGCAGCACCGTGGTATAAGCTGGGGCTGTAGCAGGAAATCAGAAAGTCTCCTGAAAGAAATTGCATTAAAATTTCCCATATTCAAGAAAACAGATGAGAAATCTCAAACTTTCATCCCTCTCCAAACATAATCAGTCACTGCTGCTTTCAGTCACCTTCATCCAGTGACCCCAAAGCTCTGAGTGTGTGTAGGGAGGCTCACAATATTTCTTTGCAAGTGTTATCCAAGTTTTATAGAAAGATTAACGTGATGACAGGAGCAGATAAAACTATTTTTAGTTAAGCATTTTACCAATTTCCCACCAAATCTTTAGTTCTGGCATCTCCCATCTTCTGAGTGTTTGGTTTTGAAGCCTAGTAGCATTTGAATATTGTTTTTCAGAGCACAACTTCATAGGTTAATGTAAGAAATAGTTAAAATTCCACCAGCTAACTGGTACAGACACTTGCTTGGAGCAGAAGGGCAGGAATCTTTGATTCAGTGCAGATAACTCGAGTTTGCCCATCTGAGCAGAGTAACTAAAGCAAAGGCAGCCTGCAGTGGATCACTGCAGGAAGGGAGGAGAGAGATACTCTGCCAGTTTTCACTGATCCCTGCTGGCAGCTGAGAAAACAAAGCTCTAGAAGAAAAGACTTTCCTAAATGCACTCAACTTTATTTCCTTTCTTACCTGATATTTGTTCTTTCATTCCCTTCCCACTATTCTCATTCTGTTTCCAGTCCTTATTTTCTGCTACTATCCCTCCCACGATAGTGCCCACATCCATGAATAACAAATTTGGAGTCTCTCCTCCCATTTCTCTGCCCTAAATCTCAACCCTGCACATGATTCCCCCTCTGCCAGGCTCCCCCAAGCACCAGGCTTCTGCTCCACCTTCTGGCCCCCAGGACCTTCTCCATCCCCTCCAGCATCGCTGCTTCCCTGCCCTGCTGCTCCCAGCTCCATCAGTCCCATCCCTCTTCCAAAAGCTCCCAGGAGCATTCAGCTCCTTGAAGTTTTCTCTTTTATCTGCCAGCTCCAAAGCCTCTCCCTGCTTTATCCTGTCATCTAATTCTCCTTGTGGAGCTCATCAATCTTCCTCCCAGGCCTCCCTGGATTTCCCATTACCCTTTAGTTCAACACTGTCTTTGACCTCATTTTCCGTTTTCCCAAGTGTGGGCCAACACAAAGAGACAGAAAAGATAAACTTAACTGGGCAGGGTACTTTTCTCCAGCCAGTGTGTGGGGAAGGGATTGAAAAACAGATTCCCTATATCCAAAAAGGGATGAAAAGTTGAGAATGCTAAAATTTTAATTTTATAAGAACCTGAAGCAAAGCAGATTGAGAAAGGGGAATTATTTGTTATTGAGGTGTTTTGAAAGCTGCATTTTATTTTCTTTTGTTTGAATTGAAAAAAATGCAATTTGGTTTCAAAAATGCAAAAACGGGATTTGGTAGTTTAGCATTTTAAAAAATCTGCACAACAGTATTTAAGCTAAGATCTTAGTTGAAAACAACTGAGTTATTTCAGCTGGGAAAAAAAACAAACCCAAAAAGAAGAAAAAAGAATTCTTAGCAGTTACAGAGGAAGGCACTTTATTTTTGAAGCCTACAGCAGCTAGGGGTATATTTGTAGTAAAAAACATCCTTCCTAATGAGCTGCAAAAATCTTGCTGCTACAAGAAAGTCTGGGAAATTTAAAAGCTAAGGAGTCCAATAAAGACATTTCAAAATCCAATCTGTTCTAGTGATGTACCCTTCCATTCAACTTGAATTCCCAGCTTTAAAATGGAAATTTTCTTCATTTCATAAAAAGAAGGCAAAAAAAAAGTGGTTTTTTCCAACAGTTGAGCCCATTTGGCTGATTTTTCCCGATACAGAAATCTGAGGTACATGATAAAAGTAGCCTAACTGGGGAAATTTAAAGCCAGCTACAAGAACACCAAACAGTTGAAATTACTCCTAAACCTAGAAGGAAAAATTATGGGTGTACATTCCAAAAGCCAAGCAGAGCATCTGAATTCAGACAGCAGCTATCTGCTTGCACAACCAATAGTCAGAATTTGTACTGAGCTAAGAAAAACAATGTGTGAGAGTTTTGTGCTTTTTCATCAAAATACCTGAATATTTAATATGTGTGAATAACTCCCCATGAGGAATCTTTGATTAAGGAGAGAAATAGGGACAGAAAAGTCATCTGGCTATTTTTCAAGCTGTGTTTTTCCTTGTTATGAAGTGAAACCATGAACTTTTGCAAATTGTGATGTCACTGCTTTGCAAGAGCAAGGAATTAATAACTTCTATTAAAGCACATCTTCCCTAGCACTTACAATTAATTTACAAGGCCACAATTCTTTCACACTCCAACCCAAAGGTCCTTGTCTGACTCTGAACACATTTACAGAGGTCTTCCCGTGCTAAATTTTAAGGGAGAAGTATTAGTTATCATCATAAAATGTAATTTGCTATTCATGCTTTGCAGTGGCATGGAGCACTTCATCTCAAAGGTCTTTCCAGACCTGGCAGAAATACCAGGGCAACTCAGAAAATGTGATTAAAAACTGTTTGGGTCATCAAGGCGGAGAGCCTCTCTCCACCTTTTATATCTGTGATGGCAAAGCCCATTCTCAGGGGCCAGCAGAGATGATCATTCCTCTCCCATCAGCTGCTTGGTCAAGGCAAGGGTATGGGGAAATCCAGAGGCACACCTTTTCCAGGGGTGCCTCTGAATTTCCCCTTTTCTGCCTGTTTACCACTCCCATCCTGATAATTATGCAATATTTCCTCAGTCCTCCTTATCCTGCACTGTAGGGATGTTCCAGCATTATTCATTCAGCCTTAATGAAACACTTAAAATCCTGTGAATTCTAGCTTCCCACATAGGGAAGAGGATAAACCTTTTGCAGAAAGAAAAGTTTTTTGTTAAAAGAAGAACAAAGCACATGGCCAAATTCCCTTTCACCTTGAATAAATACATCATGTTTGCATATTCAGGCTTGGATTTCTTCGAGCCTTCTTTTACCACTACTACTCATCCCCAGCCTTCAAATGGGAGAAACAAAAACATCTACAATGAGTTCAATGGAAAATACTTTCTCTTGGAAAGAGCTTAACAAGCAACTGAAATGCAGGATCTTCATTTATATGTGTTTGCCTGCACATACTGTCTTGCATATTACAGATCAACTCTGCACTCTACAAATATAAATGTCTGACTCCAGTAACATTTAAGTAGTTCTTCCTTGTCTATATCAGTGGCTGAGCTCATTCTTCCTGAAATTCAATGCTCAGATTAAAATGTAAATTTTTGCTAGGGCTAAAACACCCTTAGCTAACTCAAGAACCCAATCTCTAACACTCAGTGCTGATGCAATGGAAGATCTGTGCTGATGCTATGGAAGACCATTTGTTTAAGGCTAAACAGAGGCAAATTCCAGTTGATATGCCTTTTGTAGAATCAGAAACTTTAATAAAGGGCTTCATATTCAGTTTATTGTTAGATTTATCATTGATCTGGATACTGTTTCTGTAAAAATTCAACCACTCCACTTCTGTATTTTGGAGATCTTGGATGAGCCTAAGAAAAAGAACAATGACCAACTTTTGTTATTATGTGAGATAGGGAAAGGCATAAAATAACCAATTGTTTGTTTAATGAGATATGAAACTCCAACTGAGCTGATGTATTATGGGTGAAATTGAATATAATAAAAAATACTACTTTCAAAAATGAGTGCTCTCTGAGTGCTCCAGGAATCCAGATGCTGCACAACAACTAGAGTGTGACACAGCCTTCATCTAAAGGCAAAATTATGCCAGTTCAGAAAAAGCTGTGTTGAACTGAGTTCATACTTAAAACTCACAGCCCTCAGGCCTGCAGCTTTCTGAAGCGTCTAAAAACTGTTTTAATTTTTAAATTTGTTTTTATTGCTTATGTACAGTTATCCTGCATTCTCAGAAGAACTGAAAGATGAGGAGAGAGGCTGTTTTTATTTTCTCCAGGGCTGCAAGCAGCTAACCAGCCATCTTGTCAGACACTCAGCCCTTGCATGACTTCCATGCAAAAGAAAGCCAAGTATGATGAAGGCAAGCACTCAGGCTTGTCAGTGAAATCCTAAAACATTTCTAAAGATCTCTCAACCTTGGCAAAGCAACTGGCTTTCAATTTCCAGCAACCCACCTCATCAACAGCCAAAGCTATGAGAATTTGGATGTGAAATAATTTTCATTTGAAGCAGGCAAAGAAGCAGAATAATAAAAGCAAAAAACACAAGATGAGAGCAGTCAAAACCATGTTTAAATACAAAGGAATTTGTCCAAGCAAAGCTCCAAACCACACAGAAGATGGCTGGGAAAAAGCAAAGATCCCTCAGCTTCCCAGCCTCAGAAGGTTCAGAATTGTGGCTTGGGATGCCTACATGAATGCTGGGTCATCAGTGGGATGCTGTTCAGCTCATCCTCCAAAGAGAGGAACAGCCTTTGCCACCCAGGCAGGATGTGGGTTTGCAGCAGGGCTCAGGTCCCTACAGAAAGATGGAATTGCTTGGCAGCAGAGGTGCAGTAGCACCTGCCTCCTTCCCAGCTCCTCACGTGCCAAACATGTCTGGCACAAAAATAAAAGGCATGAGAAATACAGAACTGCTGTCCTGGCAGTGGATTAAGAGCTGCTGCCATAGCAGGAAAACCCGAGGGAAGAAATTGAACAGCAACATGTTCAAAAACATAATGCCTGTTTAGAATTAAGACACAACCATCTTGTAGAGGAGCACGAGAGCATTCTGTTCATCCCACCCAAGACTTTATTTAGGCTGTTCTAGCTAGCAGGTCTTAATTCCACTCTCTCTCCAGGATAGTGTGAAGTTTTCAATTTGTAGATTAGTAGCAGTTTGCTGAATGTGTGACTTCAGCAGCTTGCTCACCTCACACAGCTACAAAGGAAGGCTTTGCAGTTCTGACAGCTCTATGAACCACTTTTAAACCAAAGCCTGCATTCTCTGGAGAAGAAAATTACACAGAGGAAGCTTGATATGAAGTGGACTGTGTTAACTAGACACTCAGGAGGGGGCTTACTGCTCTATAATGAGCTGTAATTACAGTAACTCATTGGTCATTTACTGCCATGCAGGTGTAGAAGCATTTTAAAATAACAAGTAAAGAGAAAACTTGAGCTGAGTTTTTTCCTAGCATTTGTTGAATTTCCAATGCCTACATAAGAACAACATTCCTTCTATTTCCTACAACTTTACTGGTTGAACTGCTGAAACAGTTCATTTAAATATTTAGGAAGTCCAAGACAAAGGGTGAAACTTATCACACCCCATCTTGCCAAGGGAGATTTCACAAATGTAGTGAGCTGGAGCAGCAGCAGCAGTCATTTTCCCATGTGAGTGGGTTAGTGCAGACTACATGCACTGTTCCTGCAGGCATCTGCCAACACAGTCTGGGCACCAAGGCATGGACTACTGCTAATGAAACAGAGTTTTAGAATTCAAAGTCAGGAAGAAAGGAAAAAAATAACAAGAATGACCTCTCTCTGTCACAAGAAAATACACTTGAACTCTCTCCTGAGATTCTTATTCCTAGAATGAATCACTACTATATGTTTATGTACTCTTGACAGGAAATCCAGAGCAACTAAATCAATAAGTCTCTTCCTGATAAAGGGGCTAATTTACTCTCACCCAGTATTGCAAACTTCTACACTTTTCCTACTACTAAATAAATATACTAAGCTTGTGCTAAATGTTTTGAATTTGGTGCAGATTTCACAGAGCAGGCATACAGCAGGACAGCTTGATTACATCTTGACATTCCCATCAGAAAGAAAACACACACTGTTGGATTCCTCCACATCCATTTAAAGACAGAGTAAGGCTTTTCCTCTGCAGGTGATAATGCACATCAATAACAACTGGTCTTACCTGCTGTCTGTAAGCTCAAACCAGTGTCAAGTTTGCTGCGTGGCTTGGTGCTGATAAACAGGTAACAGAGAACACACACAGTGATGATAAAAGCAAAGAGGACCACTGCTGCTATTGACAGGCCCACGAGTGCTCCAACACTAAGAGAGAAAAACAAAAACAATTAAGTGTACAAACAGCCCAGAGGACCCATTAAAACAATGGTCAAGGTGAAGTCTGGAGTTTACTTGTACTCAGGCATGGAAGTAACTCTGTATTCACTGTAAATCAAAGTTTAGAGCTCAATACTGCAATTGCATAAACTGCAGTTATTTCACTGTCCTCAGAAGGGTCAATGTCATTACACAGCAGTTGAACATCCGGCCCTCAGTGACATTTCATGCATATTACTCCTGAGTCTGACATAAAGTGTATTTATGAAAATCAGAAATAACGTCATGCAGTAACTGATATCAGTGACATCAAAAACTTCTTCAGTGCATACACTGAGAGGGATTCTAGGGTTCCAGGCAGCTCAAACTACATGACTATTAAAGCTGTATTTTCAGTCTGAAATGCCATTTTTATAGTATAAAAACCCATGCAATCTATGTTATTCAATTCTGTTAGCAGCTCTGCAGAGCAGGGTGGAGTACTGTGATTGCTGTTCTGCCTTTGCATAAATGAAATAAATCTCCAATCAAGACTGGAGAAATTCTCCCATGATCTTTGTCACAGTAAAAGGAAAACTAAAGCTGAATTAGTTTACTCACAATATCAAAGGGATCAAAGAAGCAGGAATGAATTACTCTGGAGGCCAAACATACAGTACTATATGTAGATTTTACCAAGGTGCTATCCTGCAGAATAAAAGCTACTTTATACATCTCCCATAGGGATACAGTGAGACACTATATGTATACACTGAAATCTCTCCTGATTTCCAGCCCTTATTTTCAAGTCTTTTCCTAATATAAAATTCTCATGATGAAATAAAGGATCCAATATAATACAGACTAGCTATCATTTCCTACACTCTCCTGGGCCATTTGATGCCTTCCATGTTCCAGTCCTCTCTTCTACAGTCCATGACAAAGATTCTGACTTCTGCTGAAATTAAACAGCAGCTTTTTGGTCACAGATGAGGAGTCTGAGGACTGAGAATCCTTATATTACTGCTCTGGTATATTTACAGTTTTGACAGATGTCAAAAGGACAGAAGAGAGATGAATGTCTTGAATTCTACAAGCTCCATCCTCTAGTCATAAAAATGCCTTTATACATCACTGCCATCAGGGAGAAGTGAACTCTACTGTGGCCTTGCAGGAAGATGAGAAGAATTCTGCCTTGGGATGTTTTTATGAATTTTACATTCAAGATACTGCAAAGCTTCTCTACAAGCTCCCACAGCACCAGCACACAGATATGTCCACAGGAGAAATTCTTAAAATCAGCAGGATGAGAACAGCAGATATTGCTATGACTTTCACATGAGGTTTTCATTAGTTACTGGTCAGATTCAGTAATGAAGTTTGGGCAACATTTAGCTCCATGCACAGCTAAAATAATTTGTTATCAGCAAAATGGTTCTGCAAAGAACAGCTTTACTCTTCTGAAGATTTTTCATGGTATTTATCATCTGCATTAAATAGGATATCCTGATGTGTTTGTGCATATATGTACATATTAAGCAAATTTTTCCTTACTGTTTTTTGGCTCAAACAAAATTTGCAGGCAAGCAATATTCTGCTTACTATGGAATCTGAATATGACCTACACTCAGAGATCTCACCTGGGTTCTGGCCTTATTTTGCATTTTCACTTGGAACACCTTGACCCAAATAGACAAAATAGAAGACATACATATTACAGAAGGCTGAATAGCCATACAATCAGGTGATACAACCAAGGCTCTTCAGAAACAGTTATTTGTGCTTTTTTGTCATGACAGTAGAAGCTTTATTGCAAGATTTCATTTAAATTCCAGCCCACAGTGCAGGACTAAGGAGGTTCTCACCATTAAGCAAACATTAAGCAGAGTCAGCTGCCCTAAAGCCAAATAGATCAAATACATATTAATGATTATACATTTTTCTATTTAGACATCTGTTCCTTCTTGGCTGTAGCTCTTCTCCATGCAGTTGTAGAAGATGACATGGACAATACCATTGTGTATTGCAGAGCACAAAGAATTTTCAGTATCACTACACAACTTGTGTAAGATGCTTTGGGAGTTACAAAAGGAAAAGGCAAGAAAAACCTGAGGAATTCTCCAGGTCAAAGCTCATCATAGGTTATGTGCTACAAGAAATGTTGATCATGCCCCAGCAGCAAGATGAGAAGATCTCACCAGCATCACAAAACCAAACAGATACTCTGATTCCACTTCCTGAATGAATCAGGAATCAGGACAATGTGTACTTACTCTTTTTAAACACACAATGTTTTGCTACCAGATTGTTCTCAAACTGCTGAAGCCGTCAACCCACAGAGAAGGTATAATTAAGTTCTGTAAGATTAATTTTCGTTCAAGTTTGGGGATGGAGGGTTGTTTCTTAATTAATCTAATTCAGAGAAATTTAATATCTCTTCCACAGCTCTGAATACTGACATTTCTTAACCAGAATACAATATTTTCTTTCATTCTTTACATATTAAAGCTGTTATTAGAAACAAAATACCAAATAATTATGATCACTGACCACTTTAACAATTACACTCCTGAAAACAAAGACAATCTTACAGCATGTCCTCTAGATTCTACAGCAATCACTATGGTGCTGCATATCTGCTTTAAAAAGTCCTTGCTAAAAGCATTTTGTCAGCTTCCATTCTTTACTTTAAACGCTGTCTGAAGGCCACATAGTAACAGTCTATGGGTCTCAGGGTGTGTCTTTGAGATCAGTCTGACAGCAGAGACACCAAACAAGCAAACTAAAAAGTCCCTCTTGCCCACAGCTGTGGCCTCATTAGTGAGCAAACCCTCCTGCATTAATAACCCACTCAACCCCAAAGCAAACATGTTGCATAGAGATGGCAGTAAAGGCTATGGGGTAGCCGTGACACGAGCAATGTTAAGTTTGGTAGGAGATCCAAACAGAACTCTCCCAAGTTATTTTCCACATAAAGATAGAGCCATACCACACATTTCACTGCTGTTACACTGAGTGCCACTTCCAGGCTTGCAGTACAGCCAAAGGCTTCACTCAGCAGAGGCTCCACTCTGCCAGCAGCCTCCCCAGGGATCCCCAGGCTGTGTCCAGAGAGCTGCTGAGCAGCTCCATCGACCTGTCTGCCAGTGGATAATCAGCATCACACCCCTACAGTTATTTTTAGTTCATAACATTAGCCCATCCACACCATCAAAAGCCAGGGAAAATTTAAATATTGGCTAAGCAGAGGCAGTATTGCCCACTGATAGACTGAAAGGAAGCTCATGAGTCACCCGGATTCGAGTAAATCAAATGTTCCCAATGCCATTGTTGCAGTGACGTGTCGTTCACAGTATTTGCAAAGCACACAGATAAATATTCTTGAGAGACTGGAAGAATGGGCACAGAGAAACAAAAGGCTTGCTATTTTGGAAAGCCAAAACAGATGCCTGGAGGTTGGTACAGCCAAGCAAAGCTTGGCCTCAGTATTAGGCCACCATGTAGGTATTAATTAAGAAGGCATTTTGAGTAAAACCTATATGTGGCTTGACAGAATTTTAATCAAATATGTATTATTACATGCAACTTAAAAGATACAGCTTTGGAATGGATATTAGAATTCTATTTGATACTGAAAGAGGCCATTATAAAAATAAGACTTCCTAGAAGAGGGACAAAAATAAGCGTAAAATATTTTAGAACAAAGAGAAACAAAAAGGCTGACTGAACATAGCTGCTTCAGTTCAGTACAAATACCACATGTTCAGCATTTCTCCCCTTCCACTCAGCTTGGGAGGTAAAGCAGATGTGATAACTGCATGGGCATGCACAGCACACTGCTCTGGAGGCTGAGCTGCTCAGTGTTTGGCTCACTGGTGTTTTACAGCATCTGTGTTTGTGGATTCAAAAGCTGAATAACCTTCTGATGAATTCTGCCTTTTCCTAATATTGCCTTCCCTGTACCATGGGCTCCTGACAACTGTAAGAGACAGCAAAATGCATCCTTCCCTCTTCTTTGAGGAAATAAGTCTTTCAAGATCTATGATTAAAAAAAACCCCAAATTTTATTATTTTATTTAGCAAAAAAAAAAAAATTATGTCAGAAATTAATAATATTATTAATTATATATAATAAATTTTGCAGAAAATGTGAAATGTGTCAGAGTTGCTCAATAGTCTATTATCTATGATAGTCCAGCAGCTCCCAGTACAGCAGGTGTTTGGAGGTTGTCAAATATTGGAGTTTTTGCAGAAGTGGGAGGGGAAAAGAGGGTTCCATGTTGCTAAGGGAATGGGCAGTGTCTAGTTCTAAACATAGTACAGGCAGTAGAGGATTGGCAAGAAAAAAGAGGAGCATAGGCTAGCAAGAAACTATTGATTAGGGTTGCCAAGGCTGCTGGCTTCTCCATGAACTGCTCAATCAGAGCTGGAGGCCAACAGCTCTGGCCATGTCCATCCCACAGCAGGAAAACCAGATGGGAAACGTGCAAGAGTTTCCTGCAATTCCACCTGGTGTGCCACCAAACTGAAGGAACCTCTGAGATACCACCAACCACTTGTGGTGCACTCAGGCACTGCTTTCAAAGACCTGGGGGAGTCAAGCAAATGAAGATTTAGGAAAAGAACCCCCAAGTCCTGGAGTACAGCAAAACCTAAAAGAGTTCCCCCATCAGAGCCTCCTAGTCCTTTCCCTTCCATCTCCAGACTTACCTTGACTGGTTTGCCTAACTCTTGTTTAGTTTTAAATCTTAAGGGTTTCATGTCTTAAAAGTGTGTCCTCAAAGGCTGAAAGAAGCATTTTAAGGATTGTTTTATCATATGGCTGTTACCAACCAATATCAGTAAGAGTTTATTGATCATCAAAACATTCTGAGAGGGCAAAAAATGTTGGTCTTATGTTTACTTTAAACTACTAATTGAACTGTCATGTGAAAATGTATACAGTTCTCAAAATAATGTAATACTATCATGTTTATAACTCTATAGTGTTAATAACTAAAAATTATTCTATTTGTTACTGAAAACACTTATAGGAAGTGATTCAATTCTAACCACTCACTAACTTTGCTTAGAGAGGTAAAATGTATTTACTCACCTATTTTCTACAACGAATATAGTCATTTATGGTAGGAATTAAGCACAACCAAAACTCTACTAATGGCAATTTCCATGAGACTTTTCAGCAGCTTAGGGCTACTGCAGAAAGAAAGAAAAAGAAATCTTTAATTTTCAAAGTTTGGGCCCAAATTTCTGACTTAGATGAAGGCTAAGCTGTCATTTCTCAGATCCTACAAAATCTTTTTAAAGGAAGAGCTTTCAGAGAAGTATTTAATAAAAGCCTCTCCTGGGATTCAGTTCTTGGAGGTAGTTTTTGAGAAGATGAAGCTTTAAGAGTCTTCACTACAACATCCAGATGAGACATTGTGATGCAATATTAACTTATTCCTTCAGTTTTTCTGCCATCCTGAGAAGGTTTACTGTGATTGAAACAGTCAAAGGTTATGCAAAAATATAGCATTAAAACAGAGCATTTGATAGCAGAAGTGTAAAAAAGGACACTTGGAAGTGTCTTCTCACATCAGAGAATCCAAATAATTGTGTGTCTGTCACAGAGGTGGATGGCTGGGAGATCCCCACAATCGACCCACTCTTTACACCAGACAAAGCAGATTTTAGGTAATAATACATTAAATATTAGATCAGATAAATAAAAATAGTAAATCCACAGTACTGGACAGCATGAACTCAGGAGCCCTGAGGGAGTTCACACGTGGAGCTGCAGAGCTGCTGGCCGAGGTGCTGAGGGTGTCTGGCTGCACGGTGCTGAATCTGAGCCCGCCTACGATACCCAAGTTCACTCTCCCCAAAATGAGGGACAGGTCCTTTGACCTCTACCCCCAGATATCTCGTTACCATCCACCCCAGGGAGCTGATGGCATTTACAGCTTCCTGACATAAAATCTTTAATGAAAGGATCAGCATTAGGATGAGGGGAAAACACTGCCTTGTAAACCGGCTGGAGTCTATGAAGAGTCAATAGGCACAGGACTAGAGGAACCCAGCAGACAGAGTTACGTGTCTCAAAAAGCCTTTGGACAAAGCCTTGCACTGAAAGTGGAGTTAAAAAGATGGAATTTATATAGGATTAGGGAAAGGTTTTGCTACAAATTTAAGGCTGCTTAAAAGCATAAGGAGCAATGTGCAAGGCTTGAGTCGTCCCTTTTCAGTGTGAAGAAATGTCACTGAGACTGATTTTTATTCATATCTTCATCTATGACCTGGTGAAGAAGGAAATTTGAGTTTCTGATGATTCTAAGCTCCTACAAGCAATCAAATGCTGAGGGCAAGGAACACTACAAGAAAACTAAGTGAGCAGGCAAAAGTGATATACATGAGTTTCAGTGTACATAATGTAACATATAAAGAACAAAACCAAGCCTACATAGCAATAAACTCAGAACAGGCAGTTCTGAACTCCAGAAAAGTTTTAGAGTCTTCAGTGAGAGCTCACTGAAATAATGGAGTCAATGTGAATGGCATAAAAAGACATTAGCACATTGGCCACCAACAGAATGGAATTGAGAGCAAGACTGGAGGCAACATTTGGCCACTCTGTAGAACCTTGCCACACCCACACCTTGGGCATGCAGCTTCAGATTATGCACCTCCAACATCAGCCCTGTGGAGTGAAAAACAGTATGGATGAGATGGAACCAAAACGATGGGTGTGACACAGCATCTGCCTCAAGGATAATCCAAAAGCTCTTCCGTTTGAAAGGTGAAAGCTGAGAATAGATGCCCCAAATGCTCACAACATTTTAAACACTGTGCATAAACTGAACTTGCAATTGCTGTTCACCAAATCTCACAATCTGAATACTAGAGGGCACTCCAGAAAAGTAGTAGGGAACAGTATAAAACAGATAAAAGGATCTATAGTCAAACAGCAGGTAGTGACTGCTGCCACCAGGGTTGCAGAAGCAGACGGTATAAGCAAGCCCAGAAGGGGATTTGACAAAATCAAGGATAATAAGAAGTCCGTAAGAAACAGAGTGGAAGCCCCATGCAGAGGTGTGACACGGCCAGCCTGGGTGCTGAGGAGCCCGAAGGGAATCAGGCACAAAAAGCAGCCGGGCTGGCTGGTGCAGCCCTCCTTGCCGCTGCTGGAGATCCGGCCAGAGCCAGGCGGATCCCTGCACTATCCCGGGAGAGCACCAGGCTCATTATCTGCCCCTTCCAAGTGGAAAGTTACGTAGTGCTTTATCTTACATGGTAAAGTAGCTCAAGTCACTGGGAACTTTATGGCACGCAGCATCTTAGGCGCTCAGGCCCCGAGACAGCCGCTCCCCTCACGCCCGAAGGGCGGGAGACGCTCCGGATGCTCTGCCAGAGGCACCGAGCGTTTCCCAGCCTTCCTTCCCAAGACCACGAGTTATTTCCTTCAGAAACTACCCTGGCACGAACACGAGTCTCTCTGGGATGAAGATGCATCTCTACCGCTACTCTCGGCGGGACAAAGGCAGTCTGAAAGTGCCCGGCTACAAGTACCTCACAAACACACACCCGAGCCGAGCTCGGGCGACCACGGCTCTCCCGCCCGGCGCCTCTACCCCGGCAGGCACCGCCGCTCCCCTACCTGAGCCACCACATGTAGCTGTGCTCGTAGGGGAAGAAGCTGTGGGGGTCATCGCAGCAGTACTTGACGTCCTGGAAGCCGCAGCAGAACACGGCCCGGGCGTCGCCGCCCGCCCGCGGGCAGCTGAACCCGTTCACCAGCACCTTGTCGGCGTTGAGGTAACTGCTGCACTCGGCGCTCATGGCGCGGCCGCCCGCCCGCTGCCCGCCCGGCGCCTCGGCTCAGCGGCACCCGGGCGGGAGGCGAGGAGAGGCGAGGAGAGGCGAGGCGAGGCGAGGTGGCTGTGGCGGGCGGAGCCGGACGGGCAGGGGGCTGCGCTGGCGGCGGGGACCGCCGCGCCCACTGACCGCGGGGCCGCCACAGGGCGGGGAGCGGCGGGAGCCCTCAGGGCAGGCAGCGGAGGGCGGGAGAGCGCCGTGAGGGGCCGGCCCGTCCCGGGCTGCGGCTTCAGAGGCTGGGGTACGGCTGGAGCTCAGCGCCGGATCCCATGTGGAGGAGAGCTTTTAGGGGTCCGTCCTTACTCATAGCCTGGGTGTGGTCTCAGGATCGGCAAAACAGGGAGAGCACGGGGAGGGATCGCACTTCTGTAAGAGTCAGGCCCCCTTGGCTTGATGAGGGGGGAAAGCTCCAGCTCAAAACCAGGCTCAACTCTTAAAGATGCGCTGCGCAAAGTGAGAGGATGAATGACAGTGATGTGGCTGGTGCAAAGACTCCGGAAAAGGGGAGATCAGGAGAAATCGAGTGTTGAATATCAACAAAGAAAAAAGAAAAGATGACAGTGAGATTTTGTGAGTTGGAACTTCATCACTTGTGTTGTTCTGATGAAATCAGATATAATCAGATCAATTATTTTCATTATAAAATTGAGGATTGACTTATTTGGAATGTATACAGGAAAATGATCTACCAAAGACCACAAGGCAGCCTTTTCACCTCAGTTGTGTCAATAACGTCAGTACTTGTTAGGATTTAATTGTGTGTCTTGTGTTCTTTGAGATTAAGAGACCAATCTCCTGGTCATTAAGTCACAAAGACATGGGAGGTGTTTTTCTGTGGTTGAGGAAAGTCTCTAATGAGGTAGGGATGGCTGAATCTCAGCTCAAAAGCCATCAGTTGGTTGCCTGGATCATGTGTGTGAATCAGTCAGCTAAACATCATGTGGTGTGGTGGAAACCAAGAAGTGCTGGGGTAAATGTCATGGATTTGGAGCCTGATTCAAGACTTTGTGAAGTTGCCAATCCTGTGTTCACAACAGAGACCTAAGTCTTACAACTTCCCAGGATGGAGAAATGTCCAATACCAGTCTTATAGATATTAATCTCTTGAAATGTTTTTATGTACCTTGTTCAGTTGCTAATAACTGTTTTCTTCCAAAACATGAATCACAATCCTTGTGTTTCTCTCTGATTCTCTTTATCTGTCTGGGATTGGTTTTTTCTTTGTCTTATAGTTTCTTGATCTGTTTTCACTGAGGTTCTGTTCATACCTGAATTCAACAACTAGGGCAGAGAATCATGAACCCTGAGTCAATCAGTTCATGTTTTCAAGACAACATTCCCAAATCAAGTGGTCAAGAGACTTTCAGGAATAGAGAACATTCTTGGTTGTTTTTGTATTTCACACTGCTGTTTTACTTTTGGAGATTTTTCTCTCATTAGTCAGAACTCAGATAACTATTTTCCTCTCAGAATTGTTACTACAGTGATGTGAAACAAATAGAATTACCCATCCCAGTTTTATGCTCAGTCTTACACAAACTTGGATTCATACTTAATGAGTATAAGATAGACCCATGTCAGAGTTGGAGTAAAGGTGAATCCTTTGTCCAAACTTAAAGAAATTTAAGTTTCAAAGAAAGCTGAAATGTTCTGGGGTGACAGCATCTTTTTTTGTTTGTTTGTTTTATCAATCAGTATACTTATTTACACCAGGCAATCAGTTTGTATTTGCCGTGATTACTGGGTGTCAGTAATTAGTGTGCTTTCTTGTTGCAATTATTTGGAAAGATTTATATGAAACATTTGAAATTATGTTTGAGTTATCTACCTCAGTGACTAAATTAACTACGTAATTGCTGGAGGATTGAAATAAAAAACCATTATCTTTTGATGAGACACTCAGAAACAGGATTTGAAGTGGGAGTGGGAGGCTCTTCAATGACCAGGGCAACATGTGCAGTTACAAAACACAGACCTCTTCCAGTAAGAGTTAGTTGTTTAGACCTCATAAAATATGTTTTCTTCTCTCTTCACTATTACCAAAATCAATTTAAGTTACTATACAGATGATGAGACAAGTTCTCTCTGCTGAGTGAGGAGTGTGTTTCCACCTCAGAATTAGGTCATCCAGCTTTCAGAGAAACGCAGATCCAAGACCTTTGTAGGGCACTTGGAAGTAAGAAACAACATATCCAGGTATTCAGGAGCAGCTTTCAGAATTGGATCCAAAGCAGGATACTTCTATTCTCTGAGTGCTGAATTATCATCCTTATGAACAGGAGTCCCTTGTGCAGTGAAGCTCCAGCTCTAATTCTGGTAAAATGTGCTTGCAACCCATACTCCTCTGCAAATCTTTAACTGATTTACTGTTACTCACAATGGTTTCCAAGAGACTGCTATGGCTGTACTTAAAGCCTGTCTTCAAAATACTTGGGGCCATGGAACTGCAGCTTTCTCTTTCTTATAACTGCTTTCAAGCCTTGCAGATGGATTCATAAACACCAATATATGTACGTTGTTTATGCAAGAATCAGAACAGCAGCATTTTTTGTAATCATTAAAAATAATTGTGATCTTCATCTAAACTAAAATTACTGTGAAAAGTGCACAACCTCTTATTTACTTATCCCGACTCCACAAGATATTGGCCAGCAGAACTGGGCTGGTTTAATTTTCCAGCAAATTACAGGAGTTTTTCTGGCTGATTCTGGAGTTTGGAGCAAAGGAGGCTTGAGAGAGAAGCTAAAACTTCCTGATTTAGCTATTCCATTTAGAGACAACTCAAAGTGAATCGTGCTTCTGCACTGGTGACTACTTAAAAGCTAAAAACAAACATTCATATGAACTGTTGTGGGACACATTTCCACCAGCCAACCTTCCACAGAAAGTTAATTATGAACTATGATATAGGTGTCTAAATCAGCATCAACCCTCAAACCTACATGCAAGGTTTTCCTTAAGAGCATAACCTAATTATTAATTGGCAAAGAGCTGCATAAATTACTTTCAAAAGGAATCTGGTGGCAAATTATGCAATTAAACAAAATTGTCATGTCAGGATGGTGTAACAAGCTCTGATTAGGAGCAAAAAGTTGAATTGACATCAGAGTTAGTGTAGATAACATATTTTATCATGTTGCATGAGCAGCAGGCACTTTGGGAAGGCAGATGACAGCATAAGGCTCAAAACAGAAAGGGGCACAGAAGTTTTAAGTGCTGTGTACTTGCAGCACAGAGAGATGCTGTCACTCAGAGGACTAAAAAAGAACTGTGTGCATTAGTGAGGGACTGAAATGATCAAGAGGAGATGCCACATCTTGGGTTCTGCTCTCAACTCAACCACCTGGGAGCAAGCTGCTTCCCCAGTTGTAACTCTGTAGATTTGTGGTAGTGATGGGGTTGTCTGACACTTGTATGCAAAAGTGTTTGCACTTTGAGATCCTCCCTGTGCAAGTGAACACATGTATAAAGTATCAGTATATGAGTTTTTCATGTCACTCTAGAGATTGGTAGAGCCTACCAATCTTTCTAGTCATTTTAACTGTACTTCATGCACATTATCCTCTAATTGATTCCCCCAGTCAATATAGGGTATAGATTTTGACTTTCATCTTTCTCTGCCTCACAGAACTAAATAATGAAGGAGAAAGCAATTTTGAGCCTCAGGAAGCTGATGCTCAAAGGAGGTTTCAATCAAAATTTTAAGAGGGAAAATCAGTGAAAGAGAGAAGTAGGAAGTGTTGATACTGGTAATTCTGCAGTCAGGATGGAGCTCTGATAAGCAATTTGTGTTTGTGTAATGGCCTCATTCTCTACAGTGTTTGTGTGCTGTTATTGGTAAATATTTCAGAATAATGACTCAGTGGAGCAAATCTTACCTTTTGACACTTACTCTCCTATCTAGAAAGAGAACAGTCAGATGCATAAAATAGCTTTCAAAAATGAACCTAACCAAATAGTCTTGACTGCAGTTTGTCTTTGTGGAGTGGTTGAGTGGTTTTCATTTCTTCTTCCTTTTCAGAAAGGAAAATACTTTTTACTTATCTGAGTAGAAAGCACAAAACTGGCATGTTCCTTACAAAAAAAAAGGTCAATCTGACACTGCCTCAAGCATTTAACATTAACATTTATCCTGCTTGTAAAACATAATTATTTATAATCTTAGAGACACAAGTATATGTTGTAATGCATTTTCTACTTGAATAAAAGGATGCAAATTTTAAAAGGTTCTAGCAAGTATGTGGCTTCTGTATGTAGGGGATGATTATGGGGATAGTTCAGAAACAGAGTTACTCAATTACAGACAGTTAGAAATGATGGGCCTGTTATTTCAGACTGTTTAAGCAAGATCTCCTTCAGAGGTAGCACTTGTAAAACATGCAAGTTTCTTCATCTTTTCACCATTTATTCTACACCAAGCAACAAACCAGAAAATTATAGATTCACGGGCTTATATGAATTGTCACTTTCTATCATGCTTTGAATTTACTTTGTCTAAAATTGAAGATAAAAGATAAATATCTGAGTAAACAGGTTTGAAGTGCTGGCTTCTACATAGCAGTGAATAAATAATACAATAAAATATCTTCCCACCATTTTCATGGTAAACTCAAACTGAAGCTTTTCATTGTCTTCATTTTGTTCAAACTCTTAAGTCAATAATTTAGATTTAGTCCTATTAAGCATATTTTTCAAAACCCAAAAGTTGTTTTGTTATTGAATTATGTACATTCTTTTGCATATTTTTGTGTGACTTGGCTCAGAATCCTTTCTGTCACTTAGCCATCACAGAGAACTTTTGTTCTAATTTATAATTCAAAGAGATGCAGATACCAATAGTTGCAATAATTCTTCCTCTTTAACCCTCCCACACAAATGTCTTTATATTTTCTGTAGGGGGTAACGTCATCTATTGTAAAATTCTGGAGCAGGAGAGACACTTCCTACAGGAGCCTATTTACAAT